TTTTTTTTTTTTTTTTTTTTTTTTACACAAAATGAATCAATTTGGAGCCTGGAGTGGAAAACCGTTGCCTTATGGTATTTTGTTTTACTGAATATATATGTACTATCCATCTGGGTGCTCTAGGTTATAAATACGCTTTGAGCTTGCTGTAATTTCTAAGACTTCACTTCTGGCTGATTTATAAGAAATTTCATTAATCTCGGCAACAGAGGAATCTTGAACTGAGCAGCAGATTGAAAATGAACTGAAGGCTGGGGACTTATAAAAGCTGCCACAAATGAATCAGTRCTGAAGTTCTTAAAATGGTAATGATCATTTGTAGTGTAAAAGTCTTTTTTCCTCTTGCCGTAAGAATTTTTTGAGAGTTTTTTCAAGGTGCCAGTGAAGCTGCCAACCCTGAAGCTACAGGGATATTTTTCAGCATTTAAATGGCTATTCTTATTTTTGTGTTCAGTACATGAGTGTTTCTATGCTGCTGGTGCCAAACAAAAGAATTGAAGAGGAAATATCATTAAATGGGATGATGCTCATCATGCTTCTGTTCTTTTTCTTTCTTTTTTTTTTTTTAATTTTAATTCTAATAGGCAAGACCTTGCCATGTCATCTGCATGACATTCAGGATGAGAGACTTACTTCCAGTTAAACTCTTGATTCAGGAATCATGTTTCTATAGACAAAGGTTTTTACCCATACCAAACAGGAGTCTCCACTTTTCATATTATCTGTTGTCTTGTCTTGCAATGTGTAAAAAAGGTTAACACCTTGAATACTCTGACAATTCCTATCTTAGTAGGCTCCTGTGTTACTAACTTTTGCCTTTTGAGACTCTTGTCATTTCTTTCAACTCTCCCCTGAGTTACAGCATTTCTTTCAGGTATTCACTGTGGTTGAACTTCTTATCTGCCATCCACCTGCATGAAAATGACATTGGAATGTGCAGGAAGAGCTAATGTCTGGCTATTTCTTATCTCCTTGCCAGTTGCAGCTGATATACATGTCTGTACAGAAATACAATATTAGAAATTCTATAGCTATTCTTACTACTGAATTTCAAGAAATTGGYTGAGTTGACTGAAAGGACTTGAGAAACATTTGGTTAGAGAACAGTTATTTGAGATTAACTTAATTTTCTCCTTCTCCCTTCTTCCTTTCTTTCAGACGATTCAAACTCCAGAAGGACCAACACCAAATAAATTATGAATGTTGAACAAGATGACCTTACATCCACAGCAGATAATGATAGGTCCTAGGTTTAACAGGGCCCTATTTGACCCCCTGCTTGTGGTGCTGTTGGCTCTTCAGCTTCTTGTGGTGGCTGGTCTAGTGAGGGCTCAAACTTGCCCTTCTGTCTGCTCCTGCAGCAACCAGTTCAGCAAAGTGATTTGTGTACGGAAAAATCTGAGAGACGTGCCCGACGGCATCTCCACCAACACCCGGCTACTCAATCTCCATGAGAACCAGATCCAAATCATTAAAGTTAATAGCTTCAAGCATCTGAGGCACCTAGAAATCCTGCAGCTCAGCAGGAATCACATCAGAACAATTGAAATAGGGGCTTTCAATGGTYTGGCCAATCTCAACACTTTGGAACTCTTTGACAATCGTCTGACCACTATCCCAAATGGGGCTTTTGTATACCTGTCAAAACTGAAGGAACTGTGGTTGAGAAACAACCCCATTGAGAGCATCCCTTCTTACGCTTTTAACAGAATCCCTTCTCTCCGGAGGTTGGATTTGGGGGAATTGAAAAGGCTTTCATACATCTCAGAAGGTGCCTTTGAAGGTCTGTCCAACTTGAGGTATTTGAACCTTGCCATGTGCAATCTTCGAGAGATTCCTAACCTTACTCCGCTTGTAAAACTGGATGAGTTAGATCTTTCTGGGAATCACCTGACTGCCATCCGGCCTGGTTCTTTCCAAGGGTTGATGCATCTTCAGAAATTGTGGATGATACAGTCCCAGATTCAAGTGATAGAAAGGAATGCTTTTGATAACCTTCAGTCACTCGTAGAGATCAACCTGGCACACAACAATCTAACACTACTGCCTCATGACYTGTTCACACCGCTCCGCCTAGAAAGGATCCACTTGCATCACAATCCTTGGAACTGCAACTGCGATATCCTTTGGCTCAGCTGGTGGATTAAAGACAAGGCACCCTCCAATACTGCATGCTGTGCCCGTTGCCACACGCCTCCCAGTTTAAAAGGAAGGTACATCGGTGAGCTGGACCTGAATTACTTCACATGTTATGCTCCAGTCATAGTGGAGCCACCAGCAGACCTCAACGTCACCGAAGGCATGGCTGCAGAGATGAAATGCCGGGCATCGACCTCCTTGACCTCTGTCTCTTGGATTACTCCAAATGGATCTGTAATGACACATGGGGCGTACAGAGTTCGGATTGCTGTGCTCAGCGACGGCACGTTAAATTTTACAAAGGTAACTGTGCAAGACACAGGTTTGTACACATGCATGGTGAGTAACTCTGTTGGGAATACCACGGCTTCTGCCACGCTGAATGTGACCGCCCTGGATAACCCTGGTTACACGTACTTTTCAACTGTCACGGTAGAGACTGTGGAACCTTCTCAGGATGAGGCACAGACCACAGAGCAGGTTGGGCCCACACCAGTTACCAACTGGGAAACCATTAACATGACAACCTCACTCACTCCACAGAGCACAAGATCAACAGAAAAAACGTTCACCATTCCTGTGACGGACGCAAACAACGGGATCCCAGGAATAGATGAGGTTATGAAGACTACCAAAATCATAATTGGTTGTTTTGTGGCTATCACCCTCATGGCTGCCGTGATGCTGGTAATTTTCTACAAAATGAGGAAACAGCATCACCGGCAGAACCATCATGCTCCAACACGGACTGTAGAGATCATTAATGTGGATGATGAGCTTACAGGTGACACACCCATAGAGAGTCATTTGCCCATGCCAGCAATAGAGCATGAGCACCTAAATCACTATAACTCTTATAAATCTCCTTTCAACCACACAACAACAGTTAACACAATAAATTCAATACACAGTTCAGTGCATGAACCGTTATTGATCCGAATGAACTCGAAAGACAATGTTCAAGAGACTCAAATCTAAAACATTTATGACATTAAGGGGGGGGTGGGGGGACAACAAAAGATGGTTTATAAAACAAATGACACAAATGACTGGGCTAAATCTACTGTTTCAAAAGTGTCTTTACAAAGAAAAAGAAATTTATTTATTAAAAATTCTATTGTGATCTAAAGCAGACAAAATTATGTGTATTCCTCAGAACCTGTTTTTGCTGCAGTTATTTACCCTCCTCGTTCCCGTTTTCCTGCCCAACCTACCCTGGCTCCCATTTGCCATATTTTTCATAGGAGATCTTGATTCCCTAAAAGAACTGATCTAGGAAATTTTGTAAGAATCCTGTTACACTTTGGGAATTTTTATGGTGAATTCTAGTGGTGAGATTCGGTCTATTTTGTCACTTTCTCTTTTTTCTTTTGTTTTCTCATGCCCTTTTTGAAATTATTCAACAGAGAATGGAATAATAACAGTAACTTTGCAAGTGAGAAAAACAAACAAGTAAACTTTTTTTTTTCTCCATGTAATGATTTGCTCTGTATTTACCGAAAGCACCATTCTGTGAAAAAAGTGGAAAAAAAGTAAAAAAAAAAAAAACAAACAAAAAATTAATTTACTTGTGAAAGCCTATAAAACCCATGATCTTTTAAGCAATTCTAGAACCAGAGTTTGTAGTTCAAACACTAAACTGAGATTATAAATAAAATATTGGTTTTTTTTCTGTACTTGGATATAGCTCATTTTTAGTGTGGCTTTACACATCAAAAGTTTATTAGATTTCTTATTATAATCTGCCCTGATGGTCCAAAACACAATCACTTTWAAGAGAATAATTAAATAATTCTGGATCATTACTGAAGAATAGCACAGTTTTCATTTTAGTTTATGTAAGCAACATACTRGCAAACAAGGGTGTTTGATTTATAATGCAAGATTGAAATCATTCCTTCTAATAGTGTTTGCAATTATCTCTATTATATCACATTATGCTTTTCACAATGCCAGAAAAGTTTTGCAAGGAGTTTCAGTTGCCACTGAATTTATTAGACAAAGCTGAAAACTTTGTTCTGYTTTTTATTATTTATAACTGTCAATAAGAAAATTCATCTTTATATCAAAGYTAGTGGTTTCCAGTTCAGTTGTTCTGGGACTTCTAGGCACAAATATGAAAGAAGTTTAGCTGCCTATAATACCTGTAATAAGGGCTGTATCCCAATGTGCAAAATCAAATCAAAATGCTGTTCATGGAGTAAATCACAGGAAGAAGCCTGAGGATTTTGGTTTAAAAAAATAGAAAGAGAAAAGACAAATCAGAGGACATGATAAGTTACTGTAATGTGCATGACAATTAGACTCGCTTAGAGTACCCAGGTGACATTAATTTAAACTCTGACTCAKTTACTGATGGGAAATGCACACCTTTTGCCTTTTGGTTTGTATATATTCTCTGGATTTCKCTCATTGGTATAGGACTGGTGTATCCTGTGCATGCAGAAAACGAAAAGGAAGGCTTTCCATAAGAAAACCCCGCTTCAGGACGCTGTGTTCTTCCAAGGAGAAGTTCTGCCAAATTAAACTTCTTTATGCATTGGCAGCTGAATAGAAGCGTTTCAAGATTATTTAAATTAGGAAAAAAAAAAAAAAAGTATTATCTCTGAATGTCTTTTCACCTATTTTTTGTCTTAGCCACCCTTACTGAGAGTTTTTAGGGTTTGGTGCCAGGTAAATAATATTTTTTTAACAAAATCTCTTCAGAGCTTTCTTGTACGCAACAGCATGCAGGATGAAGACCCCACTGAAAAATATACTTCTGTGAGTTTAAGATGGAATTCTGATGGGTTAAGGGGGTAAACACCTCCTGTTGGATGCACATTTCTCAAGGTTGCAAGTTAACGTTGTAGCACAAAGGCCTGATTTAAAGAGGACACGGGGAGRTAGGTGACAATGAATCACACCCTGCGAGGAGTCTGATAAGTATGATACAGAACAAAACCCAAAGTTCTATAACAATCTCTAAGAAACATTTGGCAAGACATTATCCTTTGATGTGCTGCATGAAAAATAATACCAACTCAAAGGGAATTTTAATGGACGGCAAAGATGGTCCTGAATATAGAGTAGTTCATTGTTGGTTTTTTGTTTCTTTTTTTTTTTAAGTATTGCAATAGATTCTGTACAAAACCTCTACACTCACTCATTCCTATGTGTTCTGGCTAGTAACATTCTGTCCAGAGCCAATGCTTATCTGAAAACTGAAAAAATTCCATTCAGGAAACCTAAATATGTRCTAATGACCATCTGTAATTAATGGGTTTATGCTAAAAAGTTGTGGATACTTTAACCAATATTTGTGGAAGGAAGTTAGGGTCAACGTGGTTTCTTAAACGTGRTTTTTCACTAACCTCTAAGGTAGGTTAGTAGGAAGTCTATAAGAAAACAGGTGTAATTATTGTCAAGTGCAACACCGAATCAGTGACAGTATTTGATCCTCTCTGGAGTAACACAAAATAATATCAGTGACTGTTTTAAAAAATATRTAATTCTTATTGAGTGTTAATCCAGTTTTTTTTGGCTCATCAAAAAAATCAGATATTCCTGCTTGCTTAGAATAAGCAAAAGGAAAAGCATTTGGGTGTGTTTGGTTGGGTAAGTACATATGTGTTACATTTCAACCATATTATTTATGCTTTTCCCATCATGTTCCCTATCCTTCTTGAAACTGCAGATATTATTTCTGGTTCCTTCATACTTCTGTAAAACAGTTCAGTACTTTTTCAGGTTAATTAAATATCAGAGTTAGAGAAGATCACAGTTTAARTTATGGACTGAGCTCAGTAATAAAGCGAAATGGGTGCTGTGCTCTCTTGTTTTGATGCTCCAATCCCATGCCAACGCTGCCTGTTACTGCTCCAGGGAACACAATGTTAAGAAAGAAGCCTGTATGACAGAGCACAACTGACARAAAGTTCTAATGAAATTTCTCTTGCAGGTGACCACATTTTGTGTGATGTAAAACAATTGTTCAAAAAAAAATTGTGTTCTTGATTATGATGTGTCRCTTTCTAGTGGGCTCATGAGAAACGATGAGTTATTCTTCAGTTCATTTGATGAAGTTTGAAGATGTTTATCTGCTGTCCTGTAAAAATAGAAACTGCAAATCATTTTCTTTCTGGAATTGTCATCAAGTCTTATGAATCTTGCGATATGCAGAAATAACATGTAAAAGGAAAGCCAGTTTCATTTAATTCATCATAGAAGATGGACATTTTATTTTCCTTCAAAAAGGGCTAAATGTATGAAAAGTAATAGATTAATTGTATWTTTTGCTAAAACATTCTAACACATTAAAAATTATATTTAATCATTTCAAGATTCCCTGTCGCCCCTGGTCACAGGTTGATCACAGAATTAGGGAAAAGACAAGTAAATCAATACTTTGTTATACCAGCTTCAGAGTCTTATGAAAATGTTTTATAGAAGCTGTAACAAGCTTTTGTATGTCAGATATGACCATTAGTGTAGGCTTTTCAATGAGGACTGTGAAAATATTCTTCAATTTTTTCACCCCTCTCTGAAGGTTATATCCCATTTTTCATATGAGTTAAGTGCAATTTTTTTAAAATTCTTTCTGGGTTTTTTTTTTTTTTTAAGTCTGTAGGTGAAGGTCTAAGAAATGTTATGAGCTGCCTTGAAATTTCATACCAAAAGAAGTAAATGAAGAAATTATTTATCCTTATCTTCCAGATGTAATAAAAGCAGCTAGACTTTAGTGCCTRGGTTTCTGTTTTTCTAAGTTGAAGTATTTAATTTTTCTTAGTAAAACTATTTAATTTATCTTTTTCTCATTTATGCAGATGTTGTCAAGAGAAATCTCATTTCTAGAATTTCATCTGCAGTTAGTCTGAAGGTAGTGGTGGATATTTTGTTACARAGGTGATACTATATATTAACATTATAAATAACTAACACATAGAGCCACCACTATTGACAGCAAAGGTTCATGAGCCAGGGRTGGGCTTGGGGAGATTCTGAGAAACGTGCCATGTAAATCTGCAATTCCTGTTGGCCCTGCAACCTCACTCTGTATAAACACTGTGGTTGTGTCTAGTTTGTGGCTGGAAGAGAACAGGAAGGCGGAAGAGTTTTGGGTTGGGAATAACTTCATTGACTGCTCCCTACTTAAGAGCACAGATGCAGAAATAATCAACATAATAGCTAATAGCTCAGGTCCAGACATGCAATGCATGTTAGAAATTTTGAAGGGTTTTTTTTGTTTGTTTTTTTTTGTTTTTTTTTTATCAGATTTAATCACAAGTAGGTTGTAAGGCTTAATGCACACTAAACAATGAAAAACTTGAAGAGTAAAAAGTCACAGATTTACCGTGTAAGTTTTACACAAATGGCAGTCATGCTTTGAAAAAATACTAATGCTGGTTTGATTGACCCTACAAACGTTTTTTTTCAGTATTAATTCTACTAAGACAAATGAAATCTGTACTTTAATAGTTACATGCTATTTATTTCCAAAAGGATAAACCGTGATGTTCTTAGGTGAGAAATGTGTAACAAAATATTTAGTTTAATTTGTCTTGGTTTTACTCCTTGCTTTCATGTTTAAAATGTTCACCTAGACTGACTGTTAATCAGAGTGCTTTCCAAAGGGCTAAAACAGTGAGCTTTGACAGATTTTCATAAGATACAAATCTTTCATGTAGTKTAACTCCAGTGAGGTATGAAATTTTGGAATGAGGGGGAGACCCTGAAATGATTATATAATCAGATGATTTTATGGTCATCTTTTGTAAAATAAGAAAGAAAAATAGTTTGTAATTTTTGAGAACTTTGAAAATTGCATCTTTCATTAAGACAGAAAGTCTTAGCAGAATAAATTAGAGTACTACTGGACTTGAAAGGAACAGTAAGATGTAATGTTTTTCAAGCAAGAAGTGGGAGTTTTATATCCCACATAATCTTTACATATTTTCTAGCAACGCAATTTGCAAACTTAAAAAATTAGTTACTTTTTAATGGATAATGCAGCTTCTGCAAAAATTCTAAYGGATTTATCCATAGTTTTTAGTTTTCTTCTTGTATTTTGCAGTACATGTATGGTATAATCTGGACTTTCAGCTCTAGAACAGTTTCCCACACGGAGCGTGCAAGGAAATTCTCTTAAGTCATCCAAACTCCACTTACTGGAGGTTCATGTCTGGTGTGCTCTGGGGYTTTTTTCAGTCTACTTGAAATGTCTTGAGCAGTGAGAGATTCTTTAATTTCTTCAATTCTCCGCTACTATTGCAATATATGATTAATATCCTAGTTTGGAAAAGATGTTTTTACATGGATTATATTTTTATCAAATTTAAAATATAAACTACAGTTGTATTTTATTTTAGTAAAAAATTTTTGAACCCTGTTGACTTCAAAAAGTACTTCTGTTCCTTTCACAGTACCTCCGTAAACAAAAAAAANAAAAAAGAAAAATCATAAAAGAGAAACCATCTTGGAATGCTTTGCATGCAGATGTATCTATATATGTGTATTATTCAAAAAGTGATTCTAAGTGAGATTAAAGAAATAAGGGAAGAGATGTATAAAAAGGGAAAAAAAAAAAGAGAGAATAAATGAACCAAGCGAGAATCTAGTTAGTGGGCCACAGAATTAATCCAACCCTCTARCTAATTCAATTCCATAAGATGTAATACAATTTGTTTCATTTTGTTCATTTTCTTCTTCAAAGGGACAGTTGATTCTCTAAAAAAAGGAGGTGGAAAACTGAGTTCTGTTTTTGTCAGTACCCACGTGATACCAAGCAGGTTTTCTTTTTGCTTGTCCTCCTGGCTTCSCCATTTCTGTTTAGCTGTTCAATTATAATTTTCTGAAACTGTTTTCATGAGGCATCCAACCATCCAGCCTGTGTTGGGAGTGAATTCCAATGGTCAGTGAGACAAGACAGGTCAGTGTCATGTTCCTGAGCAGAGCTTCTGCAGTACTTGGTGTTGAAGGTCACTAACCCTTAAACAACTCATTCCTATTTGATAACACAGTTTCATAATTAATGTATATGTTTAAATATTGTATA